GGGGGGGGTATTTTGATCTTTTTTCACAAATAAATTTTTTTTATATATTTTTATTAGGTTCGCCTTGATGAGAAGAATACATACCTACAATTTCAAATGATTTAGATATGTAGAAAAAAAATAAAATTCAAATACTACCGGATATTCGCGATCGTCAGATCGGCCCAGATTCAATCTGGACCGTTGGGCTCATATGTTCATATGAACTAGTGGGTTAATCCCATCTTTTCCACAGATATATATATATATATATATATATACAATGAGACCATTTACCTTTGGAATAAGGAGGTCACAATTACTTACAATGATATGTTTGTATAAAGTATCAACCTTAAAGAATCAAAGTTAGACGCACCTCAAAATTTCATCGAAAGATGCCATTTTGGTGCTTGAAAGCCTGTGATAGCATGAAATTATCATCGCCAATTTTGATACTTAAATCTTAAAAAATGGTGCAAACCGAGTATATCTATAAACCATCAAAATTATTGAATCTAGATAACGTATTATAAAATGCACTATTTCCACGACTAATCTCTTTTTTTTTTTACATATATGTATATCTCGAGGTTGAATGATCAATTTGAGGATTTCTATCACCACAACAATAATTTCTGATAACCTTTTGAGGTGTGCCTCTCGCTTTTTTTTTTGAATATTATCAATAATTCTCATTAAAAGAAAAACAAGTTATAAGATACACTCAAAATCACTGTACGGAAGTAATCACCTTGAAGATTGGTGTGCTCCTTCTTTTGCAAGACAATTAGCCTTGACATTAGATTGCTTGTAACAATGGTGGATTTCAACAGTTATTGTTTTGAAAATGTCCCATATCTCATGAAAAATTATAGTCAACCTCCATGGTATATTAGTTTCATCTTTACTCCAAGCTATAATGTTTATTGAATCCCCTTCTATGATCTTCTCTCCCTCAATTATTGACAAGAGTTTAATGCCTTCCAAAAGGCAAGGCCTCTAACTTCAGCTTCGTTAACTATAGTGACACCGTAAGGGTCAAAATATAAACAAATAATATGCTCCATATGGTCTCTTATCAATCCATCGAAACTCGTTGCACCTGGGTCACCAAAAGAGCTTCCATCAAAATTCAGTTTGCGTGCATTATCAAGTGGTGGTCTCCAAAAATCACCCATTCGACTTAATCCAAGAGAAGATTAACTAGCTACTGCCCTAGGATTAGCAATAATCTGGCTTTTTGGAATGAATTTAGCATCTTTATGTGTAGAAAACTAATATGTTGCTAGTGCCAAAATATTGGATTTCAGCATTGAAATATCAATGCTCATAAAAAAGGTGGACCATGTGATCAAACACGGTGTATATAAATTAAAATTTTTCTTATTCTTACACTGGCAAGACTACTTACAATGTCCAATTACAAATAAATAAATCTTAAAACGAATAAATAAAACAAACGAAACATGGTTTTCACTTGCTACCACTATTGAATATAATTCTTTAAATCAAAATCCTGATTCATTGCTTTATGGAAATAAAAGAGCTAAACACAAAAAAAAAATTTAAAGAAGTAAAATCACTACAAATTACCTCAACCGGTCTTAGCACACCCCACGCCGAGTTTTTTAATTTCAATGGTGCTTGTGATCAATGATCGGTCTCTTGATTCTCCTACTTGTGGTAGAACCTCTCAAATATTTATGGATCTTGATCTAGAACCAATTACCTAAGATCTTCCCCTTTGGCTTGATCTTTTAGAGATATAAGAGATAGAAATCAAAGAGACTACTATTTGCCCCCTTTACAACCCACCTAGCTTGGGTGTGCTCCCTTTTCTTTACCAACTTGAGAG